GTAACAACTAGAATTGAAGGGCTATAAATGTATATTTGGCAAACATTTCCTAAATCGACTTATAAATAGGTGAAAAGTACTCCGGAAGTCAGGGAAGAAAGTTCACTCCCCAAGCACCATCTGGATGGTACTCCCTAACATGAAACCGTCTTTTTCATTAAAACAAACAGACTTGGCACCGTCTGCATGCCCAAGCACCATCCGAATATCACCCTAAAAATGGCCACGATCAGTTTTAGGGTTTTCTCTATTTTTCACCCTATAAATATCATAAGGACACCCCTTTAGCCATGTTTCATTGGTTTTCAACCTAAGGCAACCCTAGAGAGTGAGAGAGAAGGAGAAAACACAAGATTCAAAGGAATTATTGCATTGAGATTAATTCAAACATGCTAAAGCTATCTTCAAACATTGGATTAAGGTAGGAGATTCTTCTTGAGTTCTTTTATTTAAACTTAGGGTATTATATATGTATGTTTTCAATCTTCTCGATAGTTATATAATAAATAATCATGAGTTCTTGGTTTCTTTATCATTGAAATATAGTTTTGAATAAAATTCATGTTTGGGTTCAATAATACTTTTTCTTGAATTTCCAAAACCATAGTTTTCTAAGTATATGTTTGATTGTGAAAAATACATGGATTCTTGATTTCTAAAATCTTTTTCTTGATTAAATCATGTTTTCATATAATACTTGTTCTTGTTTCAAGAAATTATGATTTTTGGAAAAATCCTATAATGTTGATATCGCAATTATGAAGGTTTTCTTGATATGATCTCTTGCATATTTTAATTCCTTTATTAATATAGTATATTGAGAATTGATAAATTGTGATACTTGAGTTTTTATGGAAATTGTGATTGATTAAACTTGCAGTTGTTGAGAAAATTGTAGTTTTATCTCTTGTATTGTTTGGGTGTGATAGACTTGAATTGCCTTTGAGAGCCACTGTAGAGTGTTAAATACAGTCTATCCCAGCGGGGGTGAGATTGTTGCCTAACACTTGTAGTGAATTGTTGTTTTTGAAAGAAACCATTATTATTCATGTAAGTTTGAGACTGATGGATGATATACCTTTCCTGGGAAGGATTTGTCAATGTCATGAGAGATGGTATACTCTCTTCCTAAAGTGGTTTGTGATATACCCTGCGAAGAATGATTGAGATTGTTTGGTTTGTGGTGGGTGAACGAGGTAGGATTGTTGTGTAGATTTATGAAAAACAACCAACATACGCGAGAATATGAGATGATACTACTGAGTTGTTTATTGATTTTTTTAATTTCTTGCATGTTTATTATTGTTATTGATTTACTGTATTCCGTCTACTTGAGATTATTATCTTTTATTGTTTTACTTTCAAAATAGTATATATGTTATTTTCCAAAGGAAACTTGCCTTCTTTTTATTGTTTTAAACTTTGTTAAGATTTGAGAGGGATTTCCTATGGGCTTTTGCTCATCCCCTATAAAACACCAAAGATTTTGGTAGAGAGGAGGATGTCAAGTTAGATGAGAAAGTTGATCTTGAAATTGGAGAGGGTCAATATTAGGATCATAAAGTGAAGGCTTAGAGATGCTTCATTTTAGTTATGGTTATTGTATTTTGAGAGATTTTTGTGAAACAATGTTTCAATTAGTTTTTGTTAGGGTAAAAATCATTTGGACCCCCTGAGTTTTGTCTTAATGACATGGACACCCCCTCACATTTTATTAATTACAGTGACACCCCCTCACATTTGAAACTCGTTACATGGACACCCCCTCCGTTCCATGGCCATCAATAATAAAGACGGAAAATAGTGAAATCATCATAAAAAACCCTTGTAATTCCAAAATTAGCCCTCAATAGTAAAATTAAGTATTATATATTAAATTTTTCCCAAAAATATATAATAAGAAGACTATTATATCCTTCAGACCTATTATTTTCTTGTGGTTTTACTATATATATATATATTTGAAGAAGGAAATATATTATTGATAAAAACCATGATTACAAGAAGCAAAGCTTTAACAAAAAAAGAAAAAACCATAGTTGGCTTTGATCTTTCAAAAGAATACAAAAAATCCATCTGCATATGGCAAAAGCTACCCAGCAATCACAACAGAGACTTGCATTAGCCACCTTTATAGAATCCCAAAGGTCATGGACCAGCTGAGGGGCACAAAAGGACAAGAAATCCAGCTGAAAAACCAGCAAACAATCCAGCTAAAAATCCAATTGAAAAGCCAGCATAAAACCAGATGTAGAACCAGAAACTAGCTGAAATACCTGAAGAATAGCTGAAGGAAACCTTTTGTAACAGTAGCCAATTGTTCACGTGAACAGTGCACACCTGATGAAAACAGGTTCAGCTGTGTGGTTTTACTATATAGTTCATCTAGTATATAGTTCATCTTATTCTTTTAATAAGACATTTTATTAAAAGAATCAACCAATTACATGAATCAAAACAGGATTTTTGGATCAGCTAGAAAAATCTGATGCAGAATCACACTATCATTTTTCTGCATTTTTGGACCATTTGCTGAAAAATTAGTAGAACTCTCAACTTTAACAACAAAAGAGGCTAGAAAAAAAAACACATGTATCTATGTACTCAAGTGGAGGAAAACAGGAAAATTAGTTCCTGTTTTCCTGTTAAAAAAAACAGTTTCTGATTTTCTGTTACAAGCAAAACAAAAAAGTTACAAAACAGAAAAAAATTTGTTACAACTGAATAGAGAAAAACTTTTCATCATAACAGGGATTAGCCTCCCTGTACACATGTATCTATGTATTTCATGTTCAACTCAAATGAAAAAATGCTGTAATATTTCATATAGAACTGGGCAGTGACAAAAGGAACTACATGGTGTTGCAGCAAAAAATACTTGTCCCACAAAAAATAACATGTGCCCTAACCCCTCCCAGACAAAAAATAACTTGCCCACAAAAAATAACATATGCACATCTACACTCCTCCATGACCCTGAACTCCAGCTGATTGAGCACCCCTGCGACATCCCCTTACCCCTACCTCCATTGCAGTCATATTTTTAACTGTGTTTACTTGGGTAGTTGCCTGTGAGGCAGTAGAATGACTTTGTGATCCCACTGTTTGTGATGTTGTTGGTCCGTCATTGCACAACATATTAGAAGAAAATTAGAAAATACATCAATTGTATTCCAAATGAAATAGGTAGAATGTTATTTACCTTACTGTTATTGGTCACACCACCATTCTTGCCTTTTTAACTGGTGCTCTTTGGCATGTTCTTTTGTTATGCCCAAGTTGTAAGCAAATTTGGCACCTTATTGTTTAGGACCTCATCGTGTCACTTGTACCAGCTGCTGGCTCATCTACACCTCTCCTTCTATTGGTCCTAGGCCTTCCAGGTAGCCTGCGCAGGGGTGGAGGTTGTAGAAGTTCTGCCGTTGGATCCCACATCTGCTGGTCCACAATTGGATGGATCATATCTCCATGAACAAGCAAATAAGTCTCTTTGGTGTAACTTCTGTGATAATACTTCTCAATATTTTCTCTTTGGGATCCTATTGCAACTGCTGCATGAATGCAAGGAATCCCAGATATATGCCATTGTCTACAAGAGCACATCCCAGTTGCCAAATTGACTGGATATTGTGTTCCCTCATGACTTATGTCAAATTCCAAGTTCCCAGCAAATAATACAAGACACTTCATACTGTCCTAAACCACTTTTTTCAGTTGTATCTTAATGTTTTTGGTGACTAATCCCTCCCATGCACATCCTTTGTGGTACCTTTTTGAAATCTCACCATTAACTTGCATCTAATTCCTTCCAAATGGGTGAGTATTGGTTTATGCCTATGCAGTCCAATCCAGTTGTTAAATGATTCACACATGTTATTGGTTATGTGGTCACTTTTCACAGATTCATCAAATGTGTGCCTAGCCCATGTATGTACAGGGACTTTCATAAACCAATTATAAGTATTAGAGTCATGTAACTTCATTAACTCCATGTTGTCCCGAAACCCTACCACATTATAGGCCCTAGCATCCCTCCAAAAAGTTTTTTTAAGTAATAGTCCAGGGAACTTGGACTTGAAATTATTGAAGAGATGCACACAACATCTTCTATGCTTAGCTCCTGGGAAAATCTTCTCAAACACTTTATCAAGTCCCTAAGTTCATAACAAAAAAACAGAAACATAAACAAAAATAGAAACAATAACAGAATAATAAAAAACAGAAACAGAAACAGAAACAAAATAATAAGAAACATAAACAAAATAATAAGAAAAATAAATAGAATAATAAGAATATGAAACAGAAATAGAAACGGAATAATAAGAAACATAAACATAATACCTTTTGATTGTCAGACATAAAGGTCTATGGTTGGGACCTGTCCCAAGCACCAATAACTGCATGCAAATTGTCTAGAAACCACCCCCAACTCTCTGTTCTCTCACTTTCAACGATTCCATATGCCACTGGAAATAATCCTTTATTCCCATCCAGTGCTATAGAAGCTACAATAACCCCACCATATGGCCCTTTGAGGTGGCAACCATCAACACCAATGAAAGTCCTACAACCTTCTTTGAACCCCTTCTTCATGGCACCAAATGAAATGAAAAATCTCTTGAAAATGGGATTAACTCTCACTGAAGGCTTACAGTAATCAATAAGTGCAATAGAACCAGGGTTACTTTTCAAAACTTGTCTAACATAGGCTGGTAGTAACTCAAATGTCTGGCTATGATTACCCTCTATTGCTTCCATAGCCCTCATTTTTGCCCTATAAAGCCTACTACCATTACTTTCAATTTCCCATCGATCATTCAATTCAGATTTCATATTCTCCAAAGTTATCTTTGGTTGTTCTTGATGACCCCCTGTAAATGTTTAGCAATCCAGGTGCTGTTTGCCTCATCCACCTTTCTATACCTAATACAGTTATGCTCACCTTTGTAACTCTTCACCTTAAATGTAGCCTGATCCGGAAGAGGTGATGCATGGATCCTCTATTTGCACCTTTCAGCAGCACGATGCACTATGACCGTAGTCCTCTCATTTTTCTTCCTAATCACTTTGATCCCTTTTTTAATAATGTAGTCTCTTAAAGCATCCCTAAAAAGATCAAGATTCTCAAACAACATACCCACACAGAAATCCCAATCAGAGTTTCCACCATTCTCAACATGAAACTCAGTCCCATATTCAGATGTATCATACACTTTGGATTTCTTCTTTCGCTTGTTATCACCATTCATATTCTCTAAATCATCAGAATCACTATTACTCCTACCACCTTCATTCCCAGATTGATAATCTAAGAAACCATCACTACTTGCATCCCACTCTTCACATGTGCTAATTGGCCTAACATATTGGCAATCATTCCTAGAATCAGGAACATCATCACCCTCGCCTCTCCAATCCTCATCCTCAAAACTAAAACCATATACATCGTCCTCCTTATCATTATCTCCCACATCAATTTCCCCATTTCCAACCTCAAAATGAACATTTGCAACACCTGTTTCCACATTTCCAACCTCAGATTCTACATTTATACCACTAAGGACAACTATATCATGCTCAAATTCTCCCATTTTTCTCCAAAACCTGATTAATTCAACCTAAATTTCAAAAAAAAAACCCAACTACAATTTTACATCAAACCAAAAATTCAATAAACGAAAAAAAATCACATAAAAGGCATAATATTTACCAATGGCAAAGAATCAAATACAAATACAGTGTAGATCAATTAAATAAGAAATGCTTAAGTCAAAGAATCGTCAACAATTAGAGTTGCTTTAATCTTCAATGGTCATTTGGAACATCAAATAAAAACTAGTAATACCTAGAGTTGCTTTAATCTTTAATCTTCAATGCTTTAATCTTCAAGTAGTCCCTAGAGAATGAAAACCAGCATCAAATAAATTAATTTCCTCCATTCCTAAATTTCTTATTTATGAATCAAATACAAATAAAATAAATAAATGAAAAGAATTTGAGTGAAAAGAATACAAATAAAGCATTTAAGTGAAAATTAGAACAAATACAAGCACGTGTAGCTTCAAATTAGAATAAAGCAAATACAAATAAAATAAAATTAGAATAAGTGAAAATAATTTAAATATTTTCCCATTATCTGAATAAAGAAAATTAATCAAAGTCCAACTAACCCACTTGGAGAAGCTTCTAGCTAACCACATAAAACCCCAAAGAAATAAACCCAAGCATCTCAAAATGTCACTACCCACCATTCCAAGCAGTAAAAGTAGAGGAATTACTCATAAACAACACTCAAAATCAAAAAATAAAGAGCACAAACATAATATAGTCATCTTTCACATGAATAAAGCCCATGAAGAGAGACACAAGCACGTGTATGTGAGTGGGTTGGTGGATAAGTGTAGAGATAGATAAAAGAAACCCATCAACACATCATCACAACTAATATAGAATGAAAATGGGTATTTATTTATACATATATTGAGATAGAGAGAGTGAGTGGAGAGACCTTGGCCACAACCCATCTTGACACTCTTGAAATGAGTATGAGAGCGCAAGAATTCGAGCAAAGTGGTGGACTAGAATTAGACTAGAGTCGTCAGTGAGGTCATAATAGTGAAGGATTCGGGTTTGAGTTCGGCATCAACGCCCAGTAGGTGTCGCTTTAACTTGTAGGGTTAGATCTCTGGTGGAACCAAAACACTATGGAATTTAGGGCTTTTGAGTTCAAGAGGTGATGAGATTTGTGGGGATTGGGGAAAGAGGGAGGCTGTGGGGGAATCGGGGAGAAAGAGGAAGAGGAAGAGGAAGGTTTCGATTTGGGGTGAGAAGGGTTAGCGGCTATAGGCAAATGATGGGTTGTGAAGGGTTTCTATTTCTCTCTCTCTCTCTCTGTGTGTGTGCAAACGATGGGTTATACAAGGCAAGGGTTTCAATTTTTTAGGGTTTTGGTAGTCATATGGATATTTATGTCATTTTACACATTGGGATTGACTGGTAATATTATAATTCAAAAAAATGAGGGTTATTCTAGTCATTGCACAGTTTTTGTTAACTCCGTTTATGATAAGGGGTGTCATAGTAATTAATAAAATATGAGGGGGTGTCCGTGTCATTAATACAAAACTCAGGGGGTCCGAATGATTTTTACCCTTTTTATTATTCCACTGCAAGATATTCTTTGGTTTTGAATTGTAAATTGGAGAAGTTTTAATGTTTTGATGGTTTTAGTATTTATTCTTTGTCAGATAGATGAACGGCTTATTATCTAATGATTTATTTTAGTTACTCTCATGATTGGATGGTTTGTAAATAGTAATGCCTTCCAGGGTAGATTTTGGTGCGTTACAGTTGTCATTAAAATCCATTGGATCTTGAGAATCTTCATAATCATCCTTTTTTATTTCCTTTCCTTTGGATGAGGAGGAGTGACACCGAGGTCATGATGTAATATGAGGAATTTGAGGTTCATTACCCCCTTTAAAAGATGCAATTAATTGGTTTTACATTCTTTCCATCATATGACTCTAGAGTTGTTATGTAGTCAATGTTGGATTCAATTTCTTGATTTGTTGTTGGAGAACTCAGAAAAGATTACGAGTATGATTCAAATTTGTTGCTAGTTGGGATTCATTATCCCAATTTTCAAAAGCAGAGTGACACCCCAATTCCTAGGGGTCTTAATTGCCTGCTAAGCCTCATTAATTAACCTAAGGCCATGGTCCAGGTGGACCAATCCTAACGGAATGTCGGTAGAGTCTCCTTTGTACGTGGAGCTTTACCTAAAACACAACCTAAGACAACAATAATTCCTATTGATCTTCCAGGGTCTAACATAAACATCTAATCCATTCCATGCATTATAAAATAATAACAAGTTCAAATGTAAAACTTTCATTAAAACCAAAAGAAGAGTTTACATTAAGTCCCCATATACAAGCCTTTACAAAATTTATTCAATGTTGTATAATTCAAAATACTACAAGGCTATCAATTAGGACCTAAAATCTATACATTCAAGAAAAAAGCCCAAGCTCTAGCTCCATCATCAAAATGGCCCCATGTGAGGGCCATCTGCGAAAGCGTGCGTAATACCTGAAAAAAATTCCTAAAACGGAGTGAGCTAAGCCCAGTAGGGTATCTCCTATAGAGAATACCACCCAACCCAAATGCATATGGTATGATTTACCTATAACTCAACAATCATGTGTACATAATGAGTAACATAGAAGAATGTCACTAAACATGTCAAGTCATGAATGATGTTTCATGAATGCATGTCCAACTTTGAACTCATTCCTGGGTCCTCATGCATAACACATGGTGTAATGTCATGTCATGAACTAGGAAATTCCAACCCCCCGCCATTGAGCTATACACAGCCAATAACCTTGCATTTATTTTCTTGTCTTTTTAGGATAGGTAATTCTTGGGCTTCCACCAACGGGCTATCAAATTGGCATGGTATTTTGAAGACATCTCACCCCCAATTTCATATACACCGACACACTTTTATGGGCTCGTTACACCATTGACTAGTGTGTGATTGACAAAATCGAGCCTTGCACCTAAGGGAGAATCTATCCCTTGTTGCTATACCTTGACTCATTTTCACATAGTATCTCGTGAGACTCAATCGGACCTTGGTCCAATTTTCTCGATCCCCATTCATCAATTTACATATGAGGTGATTGATTAAACTCATACACAGCACTCACAACCATGCCAAATGTCTCGTGGATGTGATGTTTAACTCATGAACGTGCAATGCATGTGTAATTGAATTTCAACTGAAAACACAATGTCACTTATAACAATAAAGCATATAAGATCAGTCTAACATATCACCTAACATATGTTATATACATTGATTAATTCAAAAACATGCTTAAATATATTTAAGCATTTTATCAAACACATAGGGTGCATAATTGTAAACACTTAGCATACCCATCAATATCAACATATGAAGCATGTTCAACAACCTAGTTCAAGTTGGAATTAGACAACATGCTCACTGGTTTCAGTTAACTCACTAGTTACACTAGTTATAAGCTAATGATGAGATTAATGATGAGCATTGAATATTGCACATCATTTATCTCTTTGCACTCATTTTATTCTTGTTTTTGTGGAGAAAATGAAAGAAATTTCATTTACTCTAACAATTAATGAAGTTTTTGTGTGATTGTAGGTAAAGAGTAGGAAATGGCGTGTGTTAAGCTTCCACCAAGTGCTTAAAGGCAATAGAGAAGAAGGGGAGGCTTAACGGGTGGCTCGGGATATCAAGAAATGAAGAAAAAAGCCAAAACAGGTGAAAACCTACAGGTAGGTTTAGTGTACTAGAATTCTTCTCAACCACTGTCCTTGCCAAAACCTACCGGTAGATTTTGCTTATTGGAAAAAACCTACCTGGTACGTTTTATCATCTTTCTATTGGTAGGTTTTGCCCAGAAAGGCTAGAAAGTTACAATCCCTACTCCAACTACTTTGTGCGCCCACATTTGTTTCTCCCACACATGCCCTGACACATTCTATATGCAAGCATGCTTTCTTACACCTAAAATCTGACTTTGAAAGAAAAAAACATGGAAGAGGAAGAGAGAGAAAGAGAGTGGTTAGGGGGAAGCATGGAAGAGGAATGTGGGCATGTGGTTGCGTGTAGCAGTCCCCAAAGACCTTCTAATGATAGGAAGTCAGTCACACAGACCTTGGGGAGGGTTATGGACGAATTTTGACCAAGCTCTTGAGAGGCATTCAACTACACACAGTTTTAGAGAGAGAAGCTCAAGGAAGAAAATGAAGTTTTAGATAGAGAAATTTAGGTTTTTTCATTTCCTTCTCCATTTCAGTTGTAGTAAGCCTTAAATCACTTATAATATTTACTTCTTGCACTTTAATCTCCTTTATTTCAAGTGTATTCAAGTTTAGCTACATATTCTATTCACCATGTCTATATTTGGGTTTCTCCTTCCAAGCTTTACTTTTAGGTATAAAATGAACTTGTCTTTGTAGTTTAACTTCTCTTTGCATTAACACAAGTTTTAATCTTCATTTCTTCACCATGTCTCTGTACATTATGCATGTTTTTACGTTAACTATGGATAACTAAGTTTGTAGTTGGCTAATCCAAGGGAGATTTCCTCTTGGGTATTCTAAATCAACTCTCTTCCATTCTTCCTTGTAGTGTAAAGTGTTTGGTTTGACTAGTTTGAGTGCGGACGTGATTGTGAGCTCTTGATACATCGTAAACTTGTCACGGGGTATGCTTGAGCCTACACCTCCACATTAGTCCCTCACTTCATACAAAACAATTAAGCACCGAGACATATTTGGTAGAATGTATTGAGTTGATTTAGCATTCCCATTAGAATGATCTCTTCGGATTAGCCAACCTTGTTTTCATTGCATTTTTATCAAAAATTCCACTCACCAAAACACAAAATTCACAAGATTTTACACTTTTAATTTCGTTACAAAAATGACCTTCACCACAATTTGACCTTCCTTCCCTGAGGAGACGATCTTGAAATACTCAATTCCAAGTAAAACACGACATTGCAAGTCTCTCTACGCTTGGGGAGCACTTTGGCACACACACACAC